AGGTCGGCGCCGAGCCCCCCGCCACTCCACCTTGATGCGGTCCTGGATGTTCAGGAACCATCCCGCGCATGCTGGGCGCCCTTTCAATGAGAAATGCAAACCAAGGAGCGAGGAGAAGGCGCTGCTAATCAATGGCGCAGTTCACGCGCCGGGGGCGCTGCGCGCGTTCGCGGCGCTGCTTGAGATCCGCAAGAACCGAAAGCATCGCGGCAGCGATGTCTCCGCGAACTTCCCGCCTCCAAGCCGCGTCGGCAGGGCTGCGCCCAGGCCCCGCGGAAAACGCCCCTCGGCCATGGATTTGGCGCCCCCAGCCTCTGCGACACCTGGATTGCCAATTGGAAACCTTTCAGATCAAACGCGGTAAATCCTATCGGCCCCCTGCCCGCGATCGGGCCCCCGAGCGGAGCAACGACGAGCCCCCCCGCCCAAAAAGGCGAGGGTCGAGAATAGTCATCAGGCCCAGGACCCGACGCAAGGCGCCCAGAGCACTCCTGCGCAGAAGACGAAAGCGCCGCGGGTGACAGCCGCAAGCTGCGATGGCACTTCCCTTGAAAGACTTGCTCGGCATCTCAGTTCCCCGCTGGCGTGGGGGGGGCCGGAGCCGCAAGATCATCGGGCTGAGAAAGTCCCTGCGCCGCCGGTTTCGCCCCCCCACCCCACCCACCGCGCCCCGGCGCTTCTCCCCCCCTCCAGCGGCGCGGTTAAGCGCGGCGCGTTGCCCCTCCCCCGCGCGGATTATACCCCGACGCCTGTCGGCGGCCGCCTCCGCGCAGGCGCGCGCCCGCTTCGCGGCCCCAGCCCAAGCCTCCGCGCACCAGTCGGCCTGCGTCCGCTGCCCCTCGCGGCGCCCGCGCGGGAAGGGCGAGAGGCGCTTGACAATCTGAGCGGCGAGAAGACTGGACTGCGCCAGCTCGCTGGAAAGGGGGGGGGCAAGAATACCTTCGCGGTTCGACGGCAGCCCGCAAGAGACCCATCCAGAGATCTGGACCTCCAGGGCGATGGCATCCGCAAATTCCTCCAGACAGTGTTTTGTTCTATAGGTTGATCGAAGCAGGTTCCAATAATCCGGCTGACGTTCCATGTGCTTCTCAGAACCCTTCTCAGAACCAATCAAATACCCAGTCACGTTGACTCGATTGGCCAGCCCGAGAAAGACTCTGCGGGGGCTCCTCGCTGGGGACCTTCTGGCGCATAGCAGTTCGCATGATGGGGGCCTCGTAGACCTCGTGGAGCTTGCCGCCGAGGAGCCCCCTGGGGCAGCGCTGCAGGGTCGCCCGGGGCTCGCCCCTGGCCCATCGCGCCAAGACCCGCGCGCCTCGTCGAGACCCGCCTGGAGCCCCCCCCCCCCGCCCCCGCGTTGCGCGCGAAATCCTCTGGGGCGCTCTCAACGCTGCATCAGGGATTCCAGGCGCTGCTCAATGTCGCCAGCACAGGAATAGGACCCCCGAGATGTCCACAAGGGGCTTCGCATGTTGCTTGAGACGCCGGACGCGTACATTACCGGCGCCAGACAGGCGCCGAAGCACAAGAGGTCTGCGCTGGCAGATCTCGGAGCGCACGTCTGCGTTTACTGATTTGACGGCAAGGAATCGGCGTTTGCGCACGGTGAAATAATCGAGACATGTTCCTGGAGAAGACGCTAGCCAAGCGACGTGGCGCTCAGGTATCGCCTGCCCACCGCCCACGTCGTGCAGCGCGAATCCTTCTCTGACCATGTGGGGCCCGAGGTTGAAGTTGCTGCCCACGACGAAACTAATCATAATAAAATGTTTCTGATTGTCTGTTCCCAGCGCGCGCGCGCGGTGCGCATGTCTGCAGGGCCCAGCCCTTCCACGCCCCTCGAACGCCCGCGATAGAAGCTGATGACGCCGAGGCGCCTGCCCCGCATGAAAACTTGAATGGGGCGAGGCGAAACGAGTTCATCCTCGCGGCCTGGATCCTGCTAAGCGTCAAGGCGCGAGCGAGATGCGATGGCAACGCCTTTCAGATGTTCCTCCATCGGCCGCGACAGCAAAGGGGCCCCACCAGGATTTCCAGCCCAATCTGCGCAACTCGCCATTTTTCCCCAAGCAGCTGTAAGCCGTCAAGCTTATGTTCTTGAACTCGCGCAGCGAGAGCCTCACCCCCTTCGATATGCGGCGCTGCAGAGGACCGAGCGTTGGCAGCATTTGCGTTGATCGTGAGGACCTGCAGGCCGTCGCGCCCGTAGGCGCGCTGGGTGCTGCAGGTGCTGCTCTCCGCTTGGAGCCTCCGCAGTTGCTGCGGTGGCGTTGTCCAGGCGGCCTCTCTTCTCTGCAGGCTCCTCTGCGCCCTCAACTGCTGGGCGGCGACATGCCAGCGGGGCTTGCTGCACCTCGACGCCCCTCGACTCTGCCGCCGCCGACCCGCGCCCTCCACCATCTCGTGTTTGTGCCTCAGCCACCGATCCTCCTGGGGGCTGAAGCTGGGCCGCCTCCTCAGACTGGGCGCCGCTCGATGCCGCTGCCTCTGAGACTGGGGCTGCCCCGCACGCGCGAATGTAGGCTGCGAGTTGCTGCGTAGGTTCCCACGGCTGCTGGACCAACTGTGGGCCCATGCTGTTGCCTAGGAAGTTCCTGCTGTTCTAGAACGCCTGCGCGTCCATGTAGACACCGCCCTGGCCGATCTGGCCGAGCGCTCCGACCGCGTAGCCTTTGCCTAGCTGCGCTTCGCACCCCGCCCGGACCAGCGCTGGGACGCCTGGCGGCCCCACCATGCACGGGTCGATGTTGGGCGCTGGGGGGGGGGGGGGGGGGGGGCTTCAGGGCTGCCAGCTTATCTTCTAATTTGGTGTACGTTTGCCTGGCCGCCTCGAGGTCAGCCACCAGACGCGCCCTCTTCAGGTCTAAATCCTCGAGTTGCTGCCCCTGCTTCGAAGACATCGCTTGACCCTCCAGCTGCTACTGCGCCGTGATCCGACGGCTGAACCAGGCCAGCTGAAGCTGCGGCTCGCTTTTCTGATATTCTGCCTCAGCGTAGGCGACCAACCACTCCCTCTAACAAGCGCATCGCATGCTCATGCTGCAGGACCTCCGCACCCTCAGCTTCGGACCCAAAACTCTTCAAAGTGTCGAGCGTGCTCTGGAGTTTCTGAATATGCTGAATGGTGGTGCTGCTGCTACACACTGATGCTACCACTGTTTTTTTGGTAGCGGGGCTGGCGGTGGGCACCCGGGTTGGCCGATGCATGTGATTGCCCATGATCTCCGCACTGCCAGCACCACTGATGTTTGAGATTGACAGTCGCCCCGCAGTCGAATTCCACGGGTAGTGTGTAGGCGTCGACGGCTGGGCAGGTGGGGGCCAGGTCACGATCCTTCCCATTCCCCCAGCCCCCACCACTGCCGCCCTTGAGGGGATTGCCCTTGCCGCCTCCGCGCCCTCCCATCGCATCTGGACGCTTCGGTGTGTGGCCTGCCGCCCGACAGCACGGGCACTTGGCTCGCGGTGCGCCCCCTCGCACGCTGACCCCCTCCATAGAAAAGGCGGAATGGCTTGATCCAGGATGCGGGCACAGCCCCGCTCCTCCTGTACCTCCTGCTCCTCCTCATCCTCCTCCTCCTCCTCTTCCTCCTCCTCCTTTTCCTCCTCCTCCTCCTCCTCCTTCCCCTCCTCCTCCTCCTCCTCTTCCTCCTCCTCCTCCTCCTCCTCCTCCTCCTCCTCCTCCTCCTCCTCCGCCTCCACATTATCACGGTCCTCCTGTTTTCATATTTCCCCTACGTCTGCTTATCTTTCTCATGCAAATGCATCCGTCCTCATTTTCCTCCGTTTCCACCTCCATCTCCTCCTCTTCCTCCTCCTCCTCCTCCTCCTCCTCCTCCTCCTTCTCCTCCCTCAGTCCTTTTCTGTATGAGTAGCTCCTCCCTGTCGCACCCCCCAGACCTGTTGGTAGGGCGGGCCGGGTGTTTTGCCGAGGCTTCCTCACAATGTGTGACCCTGGACCTTGATCTTTGCAGCAGTTCCTAGGATGGCAGGCAATTTTCAAAAATATGGCTCTCGCCTACGCGCCACTGACATTCGTTGTAAAGGTTTGCACCGGCATCAAGGATTGAGGGCGGATCGTTTTCAAAATGTGTCTCTCGCTGTAGCCTGTAGCGCCGCGCGCATTCGTCTTGAAAGCGTTCAGCAGTGTCAACGATGGAGGGCGTGTCGTATTCAAAAGGTGATTTCCGTCGTATCGCCGCGCACATTCGTCTTCAAAACGTGCAGCAGCTTCTCCATGGATGGAGGACGGTCTCCTTTGCATGTGTATATCGCATTTGTGCCGCACACGCTCGTCTTAAAACGTGCAACAAATTCAAAAGTTCGTATGGCCGAAATCCCCAAAAACGTCCTAGCTCAAATTACAGTTGCCAATACGCAACAGTCTAGTTGATTCGCGCGCGGTGTTCACGTCCCCGTTATAGCGTCCTGGCACGTTTCACGTTCTCAGGCCGCAGCAGTCAGATGTACTCGCGGCGCTGCAGTGCTAGGCACTGTGCTTCAAGGCGAATGAGGATCCCCGGGCGGTGTCTTCTAAGATCGGGCACTTCTAGCAACGATACAAATTATTGTAGGGGCCTGTGAACGAGGGATTTCGGGAAGGCTCATTGCAACAGGTTAACCTCGTTAATGCGTATTGGGTTGAACACTGGCCGTCCTCCGCATCATCATCACCATCATCATCAACACTACTATCACCATTACTACTACCACCACCACCACCATCATCAGCAGCAGCATCATCACCGTCATTCTCCCCATCCGACCCTCCCCTCCCCATCTCTTGTCTGCGCCTCCCCACTGCTCTCCATCTCTCTTTCCCGCCCGGATCTCTCCCTCCCGGCTGCTGGCACCAATGCCCCAAACTTTCTGGACATCGGGCGCCTCTTTTTCTGCGGCCACCCGGGGCCGCCAATGCCTCCGTGGTGGCCCAAAGGAACACAATGGGCAAGGACCACTTCCGCAACCGCGCGACACACCCCTCTCCTGCCCGCGCGGTCCTCGAGGTCCTTGGTGGCCTTCTCGGCGCTCGCCTCCGCGGCCTGCCCGGGCGACCCCTCTCCAGCTGGCGGCGAATGGGGGGCACCGAACATAGTTCCCAGACCGTGCTTGTACTGAGGAGGCCTCGCTCACTCATGAATCGCAGGGCTGCTCCCCTCCCCGGTCACCATCGTGGACAGGAAGGACGGGGGGATGGGCTGCGGGGGGGGGTCCTTGGAGAGGGGTCCGGGGCACGGGAGGGTGGTCCCGCGTCAGAATACCGACCCACGGGGTATAGGCGGGTTCTGGGGGGGGCGCCATCGGGGTCCTGTGGGAGGTCCCCCCGCCTTCAGGGTGGGCGGCAAAGGCCGTGAGGCCTTCACAATAGCAAGCCTGCTCTTCCGCATGATCCCTCTGTGCCCGTACGTGCCAACCTGGTGCCCGCTCTGTGCGCCGGCTTAAATGCGCACCCGTGCCAGCCTCGCGCTGGCTCTGTGCGCTGGCTTGCTCTTCCGGATGTTCCCAAACCCTCCAGGAACCCCCTGGGGGACATGACGATGATACAACTAATAAACAGAAGATTAACCATGACACCTGGGAGAGTTCATGACCCTCGACATGACATCGCCCCCCAGTCCTCACAACTCTCGTGGACTCCACGACAAGTCACGGGCCATATAGGGTTTTGGAGCTCATCCCAAGCAGCATCCGAGGGGGGCAAAATTCACACGGAAAGAACTCAGCACCTTGGCCACCATGGGAGGTTGACGGCGGCTGAGGGCCGCCAAAGGCGAGGGCCGCCGAGGGCCGCCGAGGGCCGCCGAGGGCCGCCGAGGGCTGTCGAGGGCCGCCGAGGGCCGCCGAGGGCCGCCGAGGGCCGCCGAGGGCCGCCGAGGGCTGTCGAGGGCCGCCGAGGGCCGCCGAGGGCCGCCGAGGGCCGCCGAGGGCCGAGACGGCGGGGCGGCGCGCGCGCCTTGTGCCGCTTGGCCGCCTCAACCGCCGCCGCCTTGGCGGCCCTAAGCTGCTCTGCGGCGGCCTCGGCCTCGGCCCGGGTGGCGGAGCTCTTCTCGCCGGCCTGGCGGGCCGAGGGGGGCACGGTGGGGGCGCGCGCGCGGGGAACAAGGCAGTGTGGGGCGACGAGATATGTCGGGGATGGACAGACCTCCCTTTAGTAAAACGTGGTTTAGTGAAAACGACTTCGGGCCCAAACCTGGCGGGCGCAAGCCTGGAAAATAACGGCCACGGCGCCCTCTCGAAAACCGAAAACGGACAATTCATTAATCGACGTGTCACTGTTGGGGGTTCTGTCCACCCCCGAATATGCAAATATCCACCGTTCCCTGGCCAGGCCAATGCGGAACAACGCAGAGGTGTAATTAGGCGCCGCGCCCTCCTGGCTTGGCCAGGAGGGCGTACACACAGCTCCTGGGCCAAGGACGGGCCAAGGATGGGCAGGTGCCGTTCTCAAATCTGGGGCGGGACAGGGTGGCGCAATGAGACCATCTTGGCACCCGTCCGTTCGAACCCTCGAGGGGCAGCAGAAGAGGAAAGGTAGGGAGGGGCCTAGACCAAGAGGTCCGTTCAGGCCTGCCGCCCTCCCCAGGGGGGGGGGGGGAGAATCGCGAGGTTGGCAGCGGCCTAGGCGTGGAAGGCAGCAAACAACACGTAGAAGGCAGCGGCCCAGGCGTGGAAGGCACCGACCGGCGCATGGGAAACACCGACTCCTCGACCGTGGGTCTGGGATGGGCCTGCCCAGGACAGGTGCGTGTGGTCGGCGTCCTCCGAACGGCGTGTGGCCGGCGTCCTCCGAACGGGATAGAGTGATGGATGGATGGGCGGAACGCTGGGGGGGGCGATTAGTCTCGGTGCCGTGGCCTGGGCATCCAAGTGCAATGCTCTGCTAAATCTGGAGTGCCCCCTGCGTGACATTCGAGAGCGGACGGGGGGCTAGAAAGTCTGCACCGCGGCCTGACTCGCCGACGTGGGGGGGCGCACGGAGGCTCGGGGGAAGGGACGAGAGCGGACTGACTCAGCCTGCGGGGGCCTCTGTGGTCTCGCCATGCGCCCCCGGGAGTCCCCTGCCTATTGGCCTCGCTCGAGGCCTTTCCTCTCGCTGCTGGCTTGCTCACTGCTACACACTTCAGTTGTCTACGTAATGCTCGGTATTCGCCCTCGTCTGTCGCCCCGCTACCCTCACGAGCTATGGTTTCGGTGCCTTGCCCATCATTTTCTCGGCGCCCTCCTTCTGAATTCCCAGGGAGGAATACCAGCGGAGGAGGGGGAAGGAGGATGACAAAAGGTTTGGCGACACAAATCCCGACTTAGTGCGGCTTTCGACGAGCCCAGCAGTTTGGGACCAAATTCAGGGATATACTAGGGGCGGTGCGTCTATCCCCGATAATGCGTGCGTCCGAACAGCCCCCCTGGGGGTGCATTTCAAAGACTCCTTTCGGCTGCAAGCGACCACTATTTGGGGGGGGGGGCTCGGGGATTGGGGGCGAGAAATCGCCTGCGAGAGGACGGAGGAATGAAAAGAAAGGGGAGCAAGAGGATGGTCGGGAGGACGCTGAGACAGTACTGTGCTGCGTTCAAAGAGAATCTGATGACGTGAAAGCAAAGAGGAGGGGCCTCCTTGCAAATCTCTGAGGCCACGGCAGACCTCGTCTTCAGGTCCTCTAGCCCAGCCTCGGCGATCTTGCTGGCGGCCTGCCTCTGCTTCAGCTCCCGCTTGAGGCCCTCGACCTACGGTGGGCAAGCGGCAGGTACGGTCGGGAACGTTTGCAGAGCGTGCCGCCGCGGCGGCCCCTGCGACATGCCATGCCTTGCAAGTGGATAGCGTGTCCATCCTCGATGGGGATGCGTCCGGATAGCTCCCTGGGGGCGTAAGCCTGTCAACTCTCCCAAAACTATGATTACGGGAAAACGGGAGCTCCGAACGAGCCCTGGAACCGCTGCGAAGGGGCTCGGAGATTGGGAGCTAGGAGTCGCCGAAATCGCCTGCGACACACCAACGCCACCATCAGGCAAACCGTGGCCCACTCTGTGCCAGATCGCGCCCCAGCGCGCGTGGCCTCCCAGAGCTGAGCCAGGAACGCCAAGATCTGGCCCTGAGGTGGGCCTGGCCCGATGGCGGTGTGTATCTGCCTTCCCCAGGCCTGTGGCGATACGATCTGCTCGATTGAAAGTTTTTGTCAAAGGTTTAGACCGCTGGGGCCCGTCCATTGGCCCCGGGGGCCACCAGAAATGGAGCCGGAACGAAGAACCACCTCCTGACCTCCTGGCAAGGGGTCGGGGCCTCTGGGGCCGCGCGCTGAGAACGGGTCTGCGGGCGCGCCTATCGCGCGCACGCGCGCCACGCAGAGCCCAGCCAATCCCGAAGGCGAGGGTCAGAGCCTAGCAAGACTGCAAGGCCAGAGTCTAGATCCACCGGCGCCGGGAGCGCCCCCTCCCTCGATCCCTCGCGAAGACTTGGCTTCGCCAAGGGCCATGAAGGGACGCGTGGATATTTTTTCCTTTTCAAATTTCATTTTAGTGGTCTCGTGCCGACCAACGACAGATCTTACTGAACTGATCTGCTCAACAAAAAACAAGCGCGCGCAAAATCCACTGCATATGCCCTCAGAGGAAAACGAACAATGGAATGCTGCATAAACGGCGCCCGCGCCCCGCCCGCAGTCCAACTGCAAACAAAACCACGCGTGATCAGCCCACCAGAAAGTTCACGAGCACTGCGGCGGGGACGGTCATGCATCGAGCGAGGGCAGCGGAATTATAGTCGTCTGATGGGGCTCAGCCAAGGGCTACAAACATACAACCGCAAACTGGAGGCAAAGAAACAAGAGCAGCGCGAAAGAAGGTCACTGCGAAACCAGACAGATGTTTCCAAGAAGGCGAATGCCTGCCAACGCGCCGCTTGCAATTGTTAAGCACACTGGCCCGCGGTAGACCCCGGCGGCAACGCCCAGACGCCAACAATAACACCTAGACGCCCGGTGAAGTCATTGACGCGTTGCTCAAATCCTCGCGAGCCAATCCATGAACAACCACAAGGCAAGTCGCCCTGATCAAGGCCGGGTAACCGGGCCAGCGGCGAAAATAGCGAGCCGCATCCGTATTCGCGGATGATGGGGCGCAGGAAGCGGAGCAAGGGAGAGGAGGGCGGAAAATGGAAATCATAATGAACACGGTGAAGAGAGGGAGTATGGTGATAGGAAAGACTGGAAACGTGCTAGAGCATGAGCAGGTAGGAACACGGAAGAGGGGCTCGGGGGAGGTAGGAAGAAGTACAAGAAGCCTGAGGGAGGCAAAAGGCGCACCAGTGATCCGTGCGGAACGCGCGTGCGCCGCGCGCCCTCACCAGCGAGCGCGTAGGAAGAGGTGGGAGGACCAGGGGGCAGGAGGAAGTAGGAGGAAATAGGAGGGGCAAGAACATGCAGAAGAAAGCATCTGCAGACTCGAATCCCAAGCAAGTTGCGCCAAGCATGAAAGCGAAGTGAAGCAACATGCAAGGCAAGAGAAAAAACGATGACAACCGTTACATTAGGGAAAAGAAAAGGGCGCAGGAGTAATCAATCGGAAGGTTCACAGGAACGGGGAGGGAGCAGAAAAAGGAAGAGGTCACAGAAGAGGGGCGAGGAGGAGGAGGACGACAAGGAAGGGAAAGATAAAGGATAGAAAGGAAAAAAACACGCTGACGACGACGGGCGTCAATCATCGAGGGTCTCGAGTCGTTCGCTTTAGGTGCCTGCGGGACGCCCCATCAACGTCGTCATATCGGTGCCGCCGCGGCGCTCTCTTAGGGCAATTATGGCTCTCCTGGGCCCCTCTTGGAAGCCTCGGGGGCACTCCTGGGGCCATCTTGAAGCCGTCGGTCAAAGAAGTGGGGCCCTAGCAACGCCCCATTCCTTCTCGAGCCCCCCAGTCGCCAAATGCGGCCCTCTTGCGACGCCCTGGAAGCGTTTTGGGCCGCTCTGTGGTGCTCTTGGAGCCGACTTGGGCCCTGATGGCCCCCTCTCACAGCAAGTTCAAACCAACTCGCAGCCATCTCGAGGCCTCTAGAAACTGCGGAAAGCAAAAAGGCGAGAAGGACAAAATTGAAGCGCACAGTGATTGCAAAGGAGTTGAACCTGTTGGAGGCCCCCTTCAAGAGCTCGAAAGACAATTGCGGGCTGTCACGAAGCGGTCTTGAGGGGGCTTGGAGGCGCATTGGAAGCAAAATTGTACCATCTGCAAGTATATGGAGCGATCTCGGAATCCTTCTTGGGTTGCCTGCGGTTCCTTTGGAACCATCTTCGGCCATTTCGGGCACTCCACCGCCCCGCGGTCACTCTCTGTCCACGCCCGGGGGCGAGAGGGCAGCGGGGGGGCCCCCGTCCCTGCCAGGGAGAAGCGCGCGGATAAGCTAGCCCGTTAAACCGCCACCCACGCTCTGCGTGGCTGGTGGGATTTTTCCACGGCCGCCTGGGAATACTATCCCGGATTCTCGAGTGAATTCTGCCCGGATTGTTTCCAAATCCAAATGTGAATTTGCCCCGGAAACCGCGTGATTTTTCCCGAGTGCCCCCCGGATTTTTCCGCGCGCGTTTTTTCGATGCGCGCGACCAAGGGAAAACCCACCAAGAATTCGGAGAGGTATTCAAAACGAGCTTTTGTTTTTCTCCCCGGAGTTTTCACTGGGCCGCGCGCGGAGCCTGGAAGGAGGGATGGGGGGGGGGAGAAGTCGCAGGGAGTGGATGGGGCACGCCACAGGAGAGGGCCGGAGGGAGACAGGACTCCCAGCACCCCGTTAAGCGTGAGCGGCGTGACGAAGTAATTCATCCAAGCCCACTCTTCCCCTTCATAAACACGGTTCCCCATTTCCCCGCCCAATCCTTCGCGCGCGGGAAAGTAGCCGCGGGTCGTTGGAGCGCCCAATGCGGCCCAAAATGTATCCGAGATGGCTGCAAGGAGCCCAGATGCGCCTCCAATATCGCTCAGCGCATCCCAGGGCGATTCCGAATAGCCTCCAACATGCCTCTGAGAGTCGTTCAAACCGCTGCAAGAGGGCCCCGCGTGCCCTTCGAGCTCTCCAAGGAGGCCTCCAAGACAAAAAAAGTGAAAACCATTGCGTGCTATGTGTTATGTCTCGTCGCCTTTCGTTTTCCATGGGCTCTCGAGGCCTCAAGATGGCCACGCTGGCCTGAGATGGCCCTCCAGAACAACCCGACAGGCCCCAAGACGGCGCCGAGAGCGCTCAAGATCGCCGAAGAACGCCCCAAGAGAGCGCCAAGAGGCGACGTGGGCGGCTCCAGAGAGGGGACGCTGCAAGGACCCCCCCCCGTACTCTTTGACTGACGGCGTTTCCAAGATGGCCCCGAGAGGGCCCCCAAGGCCTCCAAGACGGGCCCACGAGACCCCGAAGAGGATCCCAAGGAGGCCCGAAACAGCCTCAAGAGGACCCCGTAGGCTCTCCCAAAATGGCTCCAAATTAGCTCCACAATGGCCCACAAATCACCCCAAGGGGCTTCTAACAAGAGCCGTGTGCGAAAAACAAACAAAATCCTCCATGATTGATTCTGGCCGTCGTCGTGACTTTTTCTCTCCCATCCTTCCTTTTCCTACTCCTCGTCCTCATCCCGCCCCTCCTCCGTTTCCTCGTCATCCTCCTCCTTGTCCTCCTTCCCCGCTGCTGTTAATCCTCCGATTCCTCCTGCGCCGTCCTCGCGTTTCTAACGTAAACAGCGTCGCCCTCTTGGTTGAGCACCATGCTGGCACACGTTTCTGATGAACACAATTTGCCTGGGCACCGTCTCTGGAACTGCTTCGTCCTGAGCGTTCTTACCCCCATGTCCTCCTACCTCCCCCATGCTCCCCCCACCTCCCCATCCGGCACATTCCTACATCCTCGTTTACGAAAGGATGCGGCGCACTGGTGTTCTGCGCGGATCACCAGTGCGGTTGCTACCTCCCCCTGGCTCCTCGCAACCCTCCCCCCCCCCTCAGGTCCCTCATCATCCTTCCGACCTTCTCATGCTCTAGCATGTTGCTGTTTCCTCCAGCACGCGTCCATCCTTTTGCTGTCCCTCTTCCTTCGTTACTACTGGTCCTTCGCCACCATATTTGTTCCTTCGTTTCCTCCACCTCCTTTTTCCCCCCCCCCGTGCAGAACCAGTGAAAACGCATTCGGTTCGCTGCGGCGCCGCATGCTGCTACACATGCTGATCGAGGCAACTCGCCTGGTTATTGCTTTTGCCTTGGCTGGCGGAAATACGCGAGGCGTCGGACATGAAGGCAAAAAGGCGGATGAACAATATAATCCCGCGGACCACGGCCAAAACGCGTCAGAACATATGTGAGGAGACAGGTATGCAAGTTGTTTGGGACCCTACAAAGCCTGTCTTGGGACCCTAGGGCCTGCTTGCAATCCTTCTCGGGACCTGCTGGACTCTCATCGAGCTCACTTGCAGCTTCCCCGGCGCCCTGTTGGATCCTGCCGCAGGCCCTGGCAAAAGAAGATGACAGCGGGAGGGAAATGAAGAGAAAAACAATGCAGGCAAGAGGAATAAGATAAATGAATACGACGAGGAAGAATCAAGGGCACGGAAGACATTCGAAATTCGCTGGCCACGCGGCATTCACACGAACGCCCGAGCCACATGATCGATTGACGTGCGCATATCAGAAAAAAGGAAAATAAAAGTTGAAAACGAAGACGCAAATCCACGCTGAATTCACTCTTAGCACCGGCGAAACCAAGAAGACGAGGCCCCTTCCCGGAGCGCCCCCCCCCCCGACACACACACACACACACACACACACACACACACACACACACACACACACACACACACACACTACACACACCAGCACCCTACACACACCCCAGCACCCTTCCGCACCTCGACCCGGCCTCCCCGCGCGGCAGGTGTGCCGGGCAGCGGCGGCGCCCAGCGCGCGGAGGGCTCGGGGGACAAGCGGGCCCCGGACCCCACCGGGCGCCACGAGCCCGAAATTGCCCAAACCCTGGCGCCGCCGCCAGCGGCGCCCCTGGGTCGCTCCGCGCCGGACGATCGAGGTGCTGAGACCGCCTCAGACTGCTCGGGGGGCAGGTTGCGGCCAGCTGGGACTAGTCACTGGGGGCGGGCCGCCTGCGCGCCACCCGAAGCCTTACCAGGCCGCAGACCATGGTGCCGACAGAGATGCACCAGGCGAGCCTGGAGCCACGCGAGGGCCAACCTGTAACGGGCGAGCCAGCACGCAGAACCCTAGCCTGTGCAGACAAAACAGCGCGGGTCCCCTGTTCGCGGGTTGATAAAGGTGTCCCTGGTCCAAGGTGCCCCCAGCTTGTCGCTCCACTCTGGGACTCCCGGAGAATGTTCTGTGGGATCGGCGATAAGCCAAATTATCCTGGGGGCGGAGGGGCCGGTCGATAACATAACCTTCGCGTTGCGGGCAGCCCTGCAGATGCCCGCGCGCACTGGTGTTGCGGCCCTACAACTGATAAACATGCTGGGACGATGCTGCTGTTGGTGCTGCGACGGTGCGGGCGCCGTCTGCCTGGACATCTAGCATTGGGATACGCGGGATGGGATTGCTGAGACTATCCGCGGAATGTTGTGTACACAATACTGCGCGCGTTCACCACAATGCCTGTCAACACTACGAAGTATGCGTGCGCCACAAACTCTTTGTACACCAAAAGTGACCGCTGCAGCATAAGCTTCTGCTTGCACCACAGCGCCTGTGTACACCCCGATGCTTGTGCACACCACAGGAGTCGCGTGCACCTCACCGCATGGCGAACATTTGCGCCACAGCGCTTCCGTACACCTCCAAAGTCTCGACGGGCCCCAAGTCTGAAAATTGGCCGGGGGGCCCGAACGTATCTCATTCAATGAATCAGACATTCGTGATTATTGATTCTTCTGGCGCCGGGTATGGTCCCCCAGATTGGCGCCGACCATTTCTGTGTACACAACAGACCCTGTCTAGAGTACATCACACCACGGCGCCTTTGTACACCAGAGCTGCTCGTGCGCACCGCCGTGCCTGTCTACACAACAGCGCCTATGTACAACACAATGCCTGTACTACAGCCGAGTGCACCACAGCGCCTGTGCACACCCCGCTGCTGTGCACACCACAAGAGCCGCGTGCACCACACTGCATGGCAAACATGTGCGGCACAACGCTTCCTCGGGGATCTTCTGACCCGGGTCAATCAAGACCCGGGTCAGTCAGGCCTTGCAGAATATTGCAGAATCCTGCAAGATCCTGCGCCCAAACCCGGGTCAATGCGAAGGACCCTGCAGAATCCTGCATGATCCTGCACCCAAGCCCGGGTCAATGCGACCCTGGCCCTGCAGGATCCTGTAAGATCCGGCACACTGGCTGACCCCTGTTTGCATTGACCCCCGTCTCTAGAGCCCCGACTTCCGTACACCTCCAAGGTCCCGGCGGGACCCAAATCTGGAAAATGACTGGGGACCTGAACGTATCAAATTCAACATGTGAGTTATCAGGGATATTTCCGACTTTTCTGGCCAGGAGTACGGTCCCCCCGTTTGGCACCGACAATGTCTGTGTACACCACAGTGCCTGTCTACTGTACAACACGACGCCTTTGCACACCACAACTGCTTGAGTACACCGCAGCGCACGTCTGCACAACAGTACTTGAGTACACCACAGTGCCTGTGTACACTACAGGAGACGAATGCACCACAGCGCCTGTGTACACCTCGATGTCTGTGTACACTGCGACGCTCATGTGAACTACGGTGTCTGCTTCAACACCATACGTGTGGACCGCAGCATCGCTACACCAAAGTGCTTGTGTGCACACCACAGAATTGCGTAAGTACACTTCCAAAGTCCCGGCGGGACCGAAGTCTGGAAAATCGTGGAGGACCCGAACGCAATCCATATGTTATCTGTGATTACTAGTTTTTCTGGCGAAGGGAACGGTCCCGTCTTATGGGCCCACAGCGCCTGTGTACACTACAACAGCGGATGCGTACATCGCAGCGCCTGCGTGCACTACAAGGTGTGGTACACCGCAGTGGCCCTGCACCACAGTGCGTCTGCACACAACCATGCCTGGAATGCCTGCGTGAACCAGCATTGCTATTGCAGCAACTGTTGCGTACACCACAAAGCCTGTCTACACCATAGTGCCTGGGCGCATCACGATGCCAGCGGGCACCGCGCAGCGTGCGTGCACTTATGCTTGCGTGCGCCACAACGCCTGCGGTCACAACACATTCTGCTGCAGCAGCATCAAATGAGTGCACCAAATCGGCTCGCTGTCTGCGCACAACACAATGCCTGTGTACGCGCTGCTCACGAGCTCCTCCAGATGTTTTTTGACGACGTCGGCCGTCGCCGTCGTCGTCGTCGTCGTCGTCGCGTTGTCGTCATCGTCGTCGTCGCTTTGTCGTCGTCGTCGTCGTCCCCCTTCCCCTCTTCCTACTTCTCCTCCCCTGCCGCTCCTCTTCCGATACCCCCTCCATCCTCCCAATCTTGGGGTATGAAGTCTGACCCAGCCCCTTTTCCCACTGCATGCTCCTCCACATCGCTGATCAGGGCCGTCTCGGCAGCGTTTCTTGATTGACTAACGACGGCCCGAAGAGGCAGGAATGCGAAGGTACCCTTGGGAAAGTTAGTACACAGTCTTACCACGCGCGGTGAGATGAGCTTGCAGCAGTCTCGAAGGGTTCGTGGGGCACTCTTAGGGCCAGCCGGAGAACATCCTGGGATGTCTTTCGGCCGGGGACCTCCGCTGGCGAACCGCGCGTGGCGACGCTCAGATCCCTGGGGGAATGGGGCGACCAGACCACTGCCACGGGAACACATAACGAAAACCCCTCCACGTATGGTGCAAAACGCATGCGCCAGGCCCGCTGGGGGGGGCCACAGACGCTGCGAAGTCGGGGTAAGTACTGTGGGCGACGTGGAGGTGGTGCAGACTTCCACAACAAAGGAGGGCACCGCCTATATACCCCACCAGTGGATGTGCACCACCGATCCACACTCGAAAGTTGCAAGGGAAATGGAAAGACGCATGGCTGGAAACGCGTGTAGATCATGCGGAGCCCACGCGCCGGACACTCACGTGGATGGCCGGAGTCCGTGGCCATCGGACGGCTGGTCGCTGGAAGTACATGCGGCCGCATGTCGGTAGCCAACTCTCGCCCGGGCCGCCGCGACATTGGTATCCGACTTCCAGTGTTGTGGCGACGTGGGGGCTGGGCTCTTGCTTCGGACCCGGGCACGGGCCCTCTCGGGCCATCTGGAGTGCAGGCGTGTCACCTTCGGCTCTCGGGGGACGAGACCCTTCAGACCCTCCCATGTGAGCACACAGCGGGATCGAAACCCCGCCTGATCCTGAAGCATCCATTCTCCTCGATCATCAACTTCTCAAGAAGAGGTGTCGACACCCCTCCGGTCGGGAACTCTTGTTTAGCGTGTCGCGGCGGCGGCCCCGGCCACACGCTACGCCTTGCAATCTGCTGGCGCGTCGCTCCGCTCCGCGGCGAGGGAGGACGGGAACAGTTCGGGACGCTGACGCATTGGGACTGAGACGTGGTTACCGTGTCGCGCCGAAGCGCTGCTGGGCAGAACCGGCGGCGCGACACCAAAAATTCGACCGCAAGTGGTGGCCCCCGTGGCGCTGCTCGACGGGAGGAGGCCTTCTGCCACTCCGGCTCCAGCCCGTCGACGTCCGACTGGTCCGAGGAGTCGCTGGTGCCTGAGGCCTTCTTCTTGCCCCTCTTGCCTCGGCATCGCGGGCGTGGCAGCCCCGAGATAGCGCAGGACGGAGGTGAATAAAGAAGCCTCCTCCTCCATGACTTTCCCTTAATGGCTTCGCCCTGTCGCACCCCGAGGCCGGTCGAAAGGGCGGGCCGGGCGTTTCGCCGGAGACTTCCTCACCACTTATGACCCTGAAGCTTCAACATTGGCAACTGTGTCACAGATGAGGGGCGGGTCGTCTTCAAAATGTGGCTCTCGCCGAGCGCCGCGCACATTCGGTTAAACAACACTGTAAGAACTTCACGGATTGAGGGTCTGCCGTTTTCAAGATGTGGCTCTCGCCTGAGCGCCGCGCGCATTCGTTTGAACAATTTGCAGGAGCCTCGCGGATTGAAAGCGGGTGGCTTTCGAAATGTGGCTCTCGCTTTAGCGCCGCGCACACTCGTTTGACAAATTTGTAAGTGTTTCACGGATGCTGGGCGGGTGGTTTTCACAATGTGGCTCTCGCCTGAGCGCCGCGCACATTCGTATTACCAAATTGCAAGAGATTTCCTTTTACAGGACAATCACGGGTTCACATGGTCAACGTACAAGAAAATGCTTTTACGAAAGATTCAGGATTATGAGGGCACAACAACTAATTTGATTCGCAGTGTTGGAGTTCCAAGAATGGCGTTCTGACACGATTCAGAATCGTTAAGACGCAACAGTCAGGTTGATCCTTGGCGTTGGAGTCCTGAGAATAATGTTGTGGCACGCTTCAGGCTCTTCAAACGGGTGTCTTCCAACGAAGTAGTTCCCTCAGTGGACATGAAACGCTGTAGGGGCCTGTGAACAGGGAGCTTGGAGAGAGGGTATATCCCAACATCGTTGCTGACCCTTGGGTTTACACTGGTCCCCATCCTCCTCCTCCTCCTCCGTCTTCCTGGTCCGTCTCGCTCCTCCTCCTCATCCTCCTCCTCCTCCTGCTCCTGCTCCTCCTCTTCCCCTTTCCTCCTCCCTCCTCCCACCTTTTCCCTTTTCCGCTGCACGAGCAAGCTGCTCAGTTCCTAAGGAGGCTCCGCCGTCTGCCCTACTGCTGGGTTGGGCGGGCCTGGCAGATGTTGCGAATTATCTTCAGACCTGCCTGGCCGTCCCCTGCCCGATCTGGCCGGCAACTGCATCCCTTCAGGAGCTGGTCGTTTCGCTTTCGCCGAAACATCCCCGTTGCCATCTTTGCCCGCTCCTGTGGGGCGAGGGACTCCGAGATGTATAAAATTGGTCGTCGCCCACGCTGATGATGACATCAATGATACATGCCGTGGATGGGACAATTCCTTTAACATCAACTTTGAGCCAAAACGGTTATGGTAACCGCTCTGGCCGACGCAAACGGAACAACTGGAATTCCGAAACAGACTTCTACCCGTGATGGCTCCAATCACTCCTCCTCGCGATTCGTCGTTGGCCGCCGAAGAGCGCGCACTAAAATATAGAACTCGTAGGCTGGCCGGCAGGTCGAGTTTCAGGGAGCAGCTCTGCTGCTTCCCGGGGCGCGGTCCTTGCCGCTTCCCTCAGCTTCATTGTGACGGATTGCATCTCAGATGCGGAAGCATTTTCAAAGGCAGCAGAGTGTGGATTCGATTAACATCGCACCACACGGGCTCACTAGATAGTCTTCTGGGCCTCGCTGGTTCGATGCGCCCAGACGTTAAACGTCGCAAGGTGCCTGCGTGGTAGCGTCCCGCCCACGCACTTGGTCAGGATGTCTGCCACCGCCAAGCACCGCCGCGACCGCCAAGTCTCAACCACCAACGCGCTCCTGTAGCCAGAAATATCGCGATTGGATGTGTCTCATCTTCCCAAGCCCACGTCGTTGGACATGTCCCCGGGCTGCAGGCGAGTCTGACGCGAGCTCGACTCTTAGGTCGAGCCCCCAATCGAGCATCAAACTGTGAAGCCCTAGCCCGATGCTTCCTCCTTTCACGAGGCCCTAATACTCGCTCTCCCCACTGCTTAAAACAATCGTACATTGTAGATTGCTGCCGTGCTTGATCATATGGAGACCGAGCGTCGCGATGAAACCTCCCGTGTTCTTCCGGGTCAATGCGCACCCCGCATGGTCCGTGTCCACGTTGATCCTGATCTTCCCGTACACCTTCTGCTCAAATACTGTGACCATGTTAGGCCACTTCTTGAAATATCGGGCTGTACGGTTTAACAGCAACCAGCTCGCCTCCGTCGGTCCCTGCGTAGATCTTGCTAGAGTTTTGGCTGTTTCTGCAATGTCCACGCGGTCCTGGGAGATAAACCAACCTTATTGCTAGCGACCGGAACCGCGAAGCTTCTGCTGGCCCCAGGCGCCGCCGCCCTCGAGTCAGCCATCTGCTGGTCAGCGCTCCTCTTCTCGCCTGGGGTGTCGACGCCGTTGGCCTTCTCAAGCCCCATGAGTCGAAAACGCACTGGTAAGCTTAGGTATGTGTTACGCTTTAAGCGTTGCCGTATCCCAGGCTTTGGCTCATATCGCATGAGCAAGAGAGCAAGACGAAGCATGGGATCTGGAGTAAAGGATAGGATGGGCATCGTCAATGGAAAAGGTATTTTCCGATCTCAGATACAAGTCGTGCGCCTCGGTGAGGCGCAATCACATATTTGGCCGGGCCCGGCTTGAGCCAGGCACGGCAGCGGTACATGCTCGATTTATACCTCGCCTTTAACCTTCTCCGTTTAAAGTCGGAGGGGGAGGAGACGAGCAGGCACCGCACTTCTACATTATGCGGAAAAACAGTGCTAAGCAGCAGCGGCTGCCTACAAGGAAAGGGCGCGCGAGTAGCCTCGCTACCGGCGAGTTTCCTCGCTATTAAAGCGCACCTGCCCGCGGGTTTCCCCGCTAGCTCGGGAGGCAGGGCCGTCCTGAGACGACCTGCCCGCCCTATACGGTGTATGTTTCTTCAGCTCGTGCTTGAAGGATTGCTGGCCGGCCATTACTTGTAGGAGCAACGCGCGGTCAATACTACCTTTGGTATGACCATCGGCAGTCATATCCCGCGTGTCACACCATTGAACGCTTTCAACGATTCCGCGCTCCATCATCTGGCGGATCCAGCTAATGTGCCCAAGCAGAGTACATTCTGTGGGCTTCTTCAGATCTTTGCTAGACAAAGACTTGAAGACAGACTCGGCATCAATAGTCAGAGTGACTTTGATACATAGACCACCCATTTCCAATATGTTCTTTAACTGTGTGGGGGTCAATGGTCCCGAGTGTAGCTCGTGGAGCGTTACAATGGTCGGGTAGCAGTCTTCCAAGTTGTGGGCTGCTGCCAGTGTTTCCGCAGAGTAGCTCGAACGCACCTGCAGTCGATGAGACTTGCAGTATGCGTCCACCAGGTGCACGACGGGTTTCCCCGCTTGCGTGTGGCCACGCCTCAGCAGGTTAGCCCCGCGGATACCATAGCCTTTGACTTCGTCGTCTTCATCTCCGTTGAGACGACGATAGCCAGAATCGCTATGCAGGTCGACTTCTCCTGTTGGGGTCATAGCTTGATACACGATCTTCTTCGGACCTGCCTGTAGTTTTCTGGTAACCGCGTTTAGTCGTCGTACCTGGATGTTTGTCGGTTCCTGGATACGTTGTAGTGAGACAACATAGACCATCAGCCATACCTGCGTGATCAACGCATAGGCTAGAGCGCCACGAAGACTGACGAACATATCAGAAATCGTCTTTGTCGCTTTGCTCTCAGGATCAGCTCCTGTGAGTTCTGGATGTGTGATAGGACGAAGCTGTTTGATGTATTCGTCCTGATCAAGAGTGACGCTCCCATCATCGGTATTGTTATACCGAACGGCACAGTTTGTGTATGTGTGCTTGTTCAGTTTGCACTTCCCAAACGTATCTTCAACACACTTGACATACTTGTCAATAGCCTCTTCCTTCCCAGTCATATTGATGTCATCAACGTGCTTGGCTGTCAAGAGGTTTGAGCTCATCTCGAACTCTTCGTCGTATGAAGTAGGCTGTAGCCCAAAGCTCCTAGTGATGGACCTGAGCTTCAGCGAGAATGCCCTGGGAGCATCCTTCGTGCCCGTCCCCGGCTTCAGACACCGAAGACAATGCTTTGATTCGTCATATGACTCAAAGCCTGGCAGTGTGCGAAGGACAGCTGCTGACCCAGGTGGTAGTGTGAAGCACACCACACGCTCTTTCTCGCCCGTTGCCGCGGCGAGCTCGCTATAGGTCAGTCCCTTCAAGAAAGCCATGTTGATGTCCAGGGAAGCGATGATCCAAGCTTTGTTGCATGCAGCAGAACTTGCGAGCAGTCTCTGGCTTGACCTCCTTGCCGTGCCAGAGAAGGTTTCGACATCAAAGGCTTCAAGGTCCATGAAGCCACGGAGTACCAAGCGTAACCTGATCGTCCTTTCCATTTCGCCCTTTTCGTTCTTGACAAACTTCCATTTGTATACGTAGCGTGACGTCATGATATTAGACGCTTTGCTCAAGTCAGTCATCTGAAAGCATGTATTGTCAAGCCAAGTCTTCAATTCTGTGTAAAGGGCTTTGGAAACTTTGACCGGATTTGCTTGGACATCGGCCTTCGTGAGTAGATCGTCTTCCTTGACGACCACGGCACGTTTGGAGGCAGCACTAACGTACACTCGCATAGTTGTGACGCTGCTGTCATCCAACAATCGGTGTTGCTGCTCGGACAGGACGACTTTGGACATATCTGCTGTGAAGCAGAGCTCGATGTACTTCCCGTGCTCATCGGAGTCCAGATCATATTTGCTATCCGGATCCGTGGAGCATAAAGGAACGTAGTAAGAAGTGTCCATGTCGTATCCTGGCGGGTGACCCCGCTCCGGCAAGTGGCCTTGCACATCTTCACAGGTCGTAGAGACTAACACACACTGTGTGTCTGTCATGTATGTGGGAACTGTATGCATGACTTCCTCTGTGTCAGCTTCAAGGAGTGTTCTGTCATCCATCAGTTCAGCATACCACGACTTCAAGACAAAGGCATCCAGATCTTCTTCTGTTTCCTCTATGATGGTCGGGAGCCGACCATCGTTCTCCGCAGGAGGCTGCTCAGGAGCAGCTGCTGGAGGTGACTCGCTTGGTGGTGGACCATCAGCGAGTTCCTCAAACTTAGTGAGGTCTCGGTCAAATCCAGCAGGCGGCTTCCTAGATTTAAGACACTGGATGATGCGTGAGTGTGTAGATCCTGTGATGTCGTAGATGTTCAAGGCAGTGCCATCAGCTTCGTAGTAATGAAAACCAGGGGTCACATCATTATCATAGTGCACCAGTGTACAGCTGTCTGCATAGGGTGCAGCAGGCAGCTTCGTCAGGCTCTTGGCAAGTCGTACAGCAACAACGTTTTCAATACGAAAGTAGTTGCGTATGAGGTACTGAAGAGCCAAGTGCACCTTAGGCGAAAGTCGGCTCGCAGCAGTCATCTGCAGCCGACCCTGTTTCGCTGGTAGATATCCGAAAGTCATGGCGGGTTTCCCCGCTGGCAGACCGGCAATAAAGGCCAATACTGTCCGAAGGGCCGTATTGTCCGATCCTATCTCGCGGACCATAAGTGCTTCGATGTACAGCGTGTGTCGTGTGTCAGGATACTGTACTCGCACCTCGCGACTGCCGACCTTCACGATGACCTGGCCTCGGTCAGGTTCGTTGCGGATGACCGGGTATGGACCACTCCATCCACCCCAGTCGTCTTTCGTGGTGGTCGGGCGATGATAGTCCACGAGATCTCCCTCTTTGTAGTGAAATTCACCCGTAGCAGTAGTCTTCGTACGGAGAGCCCTGTTCGTCTTGGCAACCGCAGTGGCCTGCGTGATTGCCTCCAGACTAACCCTCCTGATTGTTTCCTCCCTTGAGTGATCTGATGATTCAGCGGACTGATCATGATCCAAGACAGGGAAATCGGGAAGCATAGCTGGTTGTCTGCCATACAGCGCATTGTACGGAGACACTTCATTGTAGAAGGTAAATGCGTTGCTGGCAAACAAGGCTTCATGTAAAAGACGAGTGAAATTCAGAGGAATATTTAATCTATTCAATTCTTCTCCCATCACGTGTAAGAGGTGTCGCAGGATGCCGTTCCTAGCTTCGATAGTCGTGGCGTGTTGGCCACGCGCTCGGATACGAAGCTCTGTTCCCTTAGCCTTAAGGATGGCCTTTGCTGTATCGTTATTCAGTGCTCCTTCCCCATCGGAGTATAAGATTTTAGCAGGGCCATGTTGCATCCAAGTTGTATGATAGGCATCGAGAACAGTATGCATGGTTTATCAGGAATCTCTGTGCCAGCTGCCCAGCGAATACAACGGTCGATGATGTGAAAAACAATATGTTCCTGTTTGTAAAAGAAAAGATCACATTCGACTTCCTCGTTGAAACGTCCTGGCAGTGACACAGAAGGCATCACCGTGTTGCCTGGTTTGTCCCAGGCTCGACATTCTCTACACGAGTCGCAAATGCCTTTGATCAGACTCAAACGGGTTTCACCCAGACCAACCTTGGTTAGAATCATCCGCATTTTTGGCTCCTTGGCATGAAACCATCTCAAGTGGAGTTTGCGGAGTTCTCGCTGCACTACAGCTGGGTCAAAGCTGCGCAGGTTTTGGAGGCTGAGCTGAACGTCGAAGCGAGTCCAATCAGGGAGCCTTGGCCTTGGCCTCGGCTCTGCTTGAGGCTGCGGCGGTGGTGGAGGATCTCCTCCCTCCATGCGTCCGCGCCTTGCTGCAACTTGTGGCAGTCTACGGTGATCGTCAGAGCTGCCAGCGCCAGTGTTGCCACCATTAGCCCCTTCGGCTCTGGTGATGTCATGGCTGCTGGCGCCTGCGGTTGGATCGCCCTCACCAGGCCGTGGCGGCCTAGGCGCGCGTATGCGCGCTCTCGCGGCCGGCGCCGCTTTTGCGGCTGGCGCCGCTTCTGCGGCTGGAGCCGCTTCCGCGGCTGGCGCCGCAGGAGCGGCTTGCCCCGCCGGGCGCGGCTGGCCAAAGTTATCTGGCAGCTTCCATTTTTCGGCGAATCTGCATTGGCCAGATATCTTGGTGTGGTGAGGATTGCTCTTCTGATATTCCTTCTTACAGCTTGGACAGTCCCAGTAATACGGTTCAACATCATACCACCGACACATCTTCGGATCCCTGCTGTGCTTTGGTGATTGCTTGTAGTTGTTGTCCACACAGCCAGGGCACCCAAGACCGCCAGGTGGTGGTCGCCAGATTTCTCCGTTTGGGTGTCTCCGGATTGTTGGGTCGTCCAAGTCGTAGCCAGCACTGTTTGTTACGAACGCATAGCT